TGTCAAGTTACAAGACCCTTAAAGCTGTCAAGTTACAAGACCCTTAAAGCTGTCAAGTTACAAGACCCTTGCACCCCTAACCCTTTAGAAATAAAAACCCAGGGGTGTTCAAACTTGACAGCTTTAAGACTTGTGGACTTCAACTCCCAGAATTCCTCCTCTAGCTCTTCATCTTGATGATGTGCGGATGGGCAAGGGGAGGGAGCTGGAACCAGTTGTAAATGGCACTATAGAACTGTGGAACCTCTTCTATAGAAGAGGTGAGAACTGGCAGGAATCCACCCCTGTCTCACATGCAACCAGTGGTGGGTTGCAGGCAGTACTCCCCGATACAGGCATACTGGAGTCTGCCCGGAGCACTGGATACCGTTCCGGTACGATGCTCTGGAGGACTCACTCACCTGCCCAAGCTCCTTACCAGTCTTTTAAGTCTTTGGCACTTCCACGCACGCACAAGGTGCGTACAGTGCCAGCGTGACACTCCGCTGACCAGCTGGAGCATCGTGAAGACGCTAAGATGCATGAGCGCACTGCGCGTGTCCATGTGAACGCTGCACGGCCCGTTTCAACCGTATTGGTTGGAACAGGATCCGGAACCCATCACTGCGTGCAACGTATGTACCTAACAGGCTGCGGACTGGTATTGGTCCACAGCTCGGAGGGCGGGAGGTGTTGGAGATCCCTGCTCCAGAAGGTTGAAAGATTTAACGATTCGTCTTTTTCCCACCGATCAGGCACGAATTGAGGAGCTGGAAGAGGAGATGGAGGCGGAGCGCGCGGCCCGCGCCAAGGTGGAGAAACAGCGCTCGGACCTTTCGCGAGAACTGGAGGAGATCAGCGAGCGTCTGGAGGAGGCCGGAGGCGCCAACTCGGTGCAGATCGAGCTGAACAAGAAGCGGGAGGCCGAGTTCCAGAAGATGCGGCGCGACCTGGAAGAGGCCACGCTGCAGCATGAGGCCACGGCGGCCACTCTGCGTAAGAAGCACGCGGATTCCGTGGCTGAGCTGGGCGAGCAGATCGACAACCTGCAGCGGGTGAAGCAGAAGCTGGAGAAAGAGAAGAGTGAGCTGAAGCTCGAGCTGGACGACGTGGCCTCCAACATGGAGCAGATTCTGAAGGCCAAGGTATTGTGTCAGTGGCGGGGAAGGTCCCAAAACCAGTCGAGCAGGCCGTGGATAAAACAAACTCCTTCTTAGATAGATTGGTGCTACAGGGTCTACCAGTGATGACTAATCTTTTTCCCATCATGTGCCAAAAGTGGGGGGAGCACAAGGAGATCGTGCATGGGCGTGCCCACACCCATAATTCTATGCATGCCACCACCACCCCTGCGCATGCGCACGCGACTCCCACCTTCCCCCCGATTTTGGCGTGGAATGGACCCGCTTTTTGCCCTTCCCAGAGGCTTTCTAGGAGCCTGGGGAGGGTGAAAATGGCATCCTTGCCACCCTCCAGAGGGCAAAAAACGACGCTATGGGCAACCCCGAATTTGGGAACGGATCACCAGGTTGCCCATAGGGTAGTTTTTTCACCCTACAGAGGGAGAAAAATGGCCCGACGCATACACTGGAAGTCTGTTCCCAAAAATGGCCAAAAATGAAGGCCAAAGTCACCATCACAGAGGTAGACACTTGGGGTCCCTGGTGCTCTCTGAGCTGGGTTGTTTTCCTGCAGATATTTCATGACCCAACTAGGGAATATTATCAGTGCGAGTGTTTACTGGCCGGATGCTCTACTTGTTGCCAATGCGGAGTTATATTCAAGCAGATACTGTATATATATTCTCAATATGCCCAGAGAGAGAAGTATCTCCCTCTACCTAGGATCGAACTCACAGCCTCCTGATCGTGAGGCGAGAGCTAGGCCACCACCCCACTCTAGTTGGGTCATGAAATGTCGGCAAACAAACAACACAGCTCAGAAAACCTCAAGAACTGTTGTCCTTCTCCTCCCCCTCTCCAAAACCCCCACTCCTATCTAGCACTGATGATGTTACCTAATTGGGTCATGAAATCACCATCATCCTCTTTTAACATAATCCTTTGCGGGGTGGAGTCTGGACAACTGAATGGAGTGGAGCTTTTACTGGCCGGATGCTGTACTTGTTGCCAATGCTGAGTTATATTCAACAGATATGTTCTCAACGTGCCCAGAGAGAGAAATTTCTGCCCCTACCTAGGATTGAACTGACAGCCTCCTGATTGTGAGGGGAGAGCTCCACCTCCCCACTCTAGTTGGGTCATGAAATGTTGGCAAGAAAACAACCAAGGACCCCACAATTATCCTCCTCCTCTTCCTCCACCTCTTCCTCCGCTTCCGCCTCCTCTCCCAAAACCCCACTCCTTTCTAGCACTGATGATGTTACCTAGTTGGGTCGTGAAATCACCATCATCCTCTTTTAACCACCCCAGAATCCTTTGTGGGGTGGAGGACCCCACAATTGTCCTCCTCCTCCTCCTCCTCCTCCTCTCCACAAACCCCATTCCCTTCTAGCACTGATGATGTTACCTAGTTGGGTCATGAAATCACCATCATCCTCTTTTAACGACTTCCCATGCCTAGGTCCTTTCAAGTGACGTTAACCCCAATGTGGTTTCAGTGGAGAACATGCTCCAGCTTCCGCCAGGCTTACTTCAGGTTTAATTCTTCTGTTTTCTTGGCAGGCAAATTTGGAGAAAATGTGCCGGACCATCGAGGACCAGTCGACGGATCACCGCGCCAAGTTTGAGGAGACACAGAGGACCCTCAACGACACAAACACCCAGCGAGCGAAACTGCTCACCGAAAATGGTACCGGCTACCATTTTTCCCCCTCTTGTTTTCTATGGCGATTCTCCTTCATCCAGAAGGAACAACTTTCCTTGATTTCTCTTGAAGACGTTTCGCTTCTCCTCCAGGAAGCTCCTTCAGTTCCGACTGAAAGGTGGAGGATAGAAGGATTTATACTCCTTTGCAGTCATCAGGTCATTAGTACTCTCTCTGAGAGTTGTTGGGGCCATTTGGAGGTTTTGTCAGGGTTCTGACAGCTGCCCTACTTAAATCATGAGCCTCGAGCCAAGGTTCAAAAGAAATCCAGTTATTTATTAAGCACTTCATGTCGGCACGTTCCAAGGGAAGCCAACTCTGACCTCACGTAATTTACAGCCCAGACTTGACCCTGTTTCCCCCCCCCTGCCCCCCAGGGTGTATCATCGGTCACATTTGCCAACAATTTCACAGGTTGTAGAGATCACTCCACTACGGCCGCTGTGGGTAACCCTGGGAGACAGCCTTGAGAGAGAGAGATGTCTGGAATGTGCTTTTGTTTTTGGCTGCCATGCTGCTTTGCCGTTTTCCCATCCCTCTTGCCTATGGCAACTCGAGAGCAGGCTAGGGATGCTTTGTGAGTTGACAGGTTTATCTGGGCCTCCCAAGTCCCCTAAGTAGTGCAAATGGATGTGGAGTCTTCTTGGTACTGCTGAAAAGACTATGTTGTCAAAATATACAATCCATTTGCACTACTCAGGAGACCCTGAGGGCACAGATAAAGCTCCAAGTGCCTCAATGACTCTCAGAGAGAGTACTAAAGACCAGAGGAATATAAATCCTTCCCTTCTCCACTATTCCCGGATTCCACTAGTCAGCACTGAAGACGCTTCCTGGAGGAGAAGCAAAAAGCCTTCAAGGAAAAACAAAGCTTGTTTTTCTATACCTCTCGATGAGATCTACCCAGAAGTAGCTTCTATCCCATGTAGCTTCTGGAACTCTCCTTTCCTCCTTTCCCACCCTCAGGGGAACTCGCCCGACAGCTTGAAGAGAAAGAGGCCCTCGTTTCCCAGCTGACTCGCGGGAAACAATCCTACACACAACAGATGGAGGACCTCAAAAGACAACTGGAAGAGGAGACCAAGGTGAAGAATGTTAAAAATACTCATGACCTGGAGAGACATGGGAAGAAGGTCAGCCAACGAATAGGCATAGCAACTAAGTCAGCCAAAACAGATCTGACTCTGTGCAGAGAATTGAAACAGAAACTGAAGCAGTCTGCTGCTCTGTGAAGTAAACTTAAGCTGTCTGTCTGGGCTTGGGTGCTGGAATGAAGCTAACGGCTTGTGTTTGCCTGTAACTCTCCTGGCTTGTGTTTACTTGGAAGAACCATCTGTTGGTATTGTACATTTATTTGTCTATTCTTATGTAGATAAAGGCGATAACGAATCCCGTTGCATCAGTTATTCTGGATTTCAATTTAGGCAACAATCTCTGACAAAGAAACATCACTTGGTGGGTCTGGGTTTTTGAGATGAAGGTAGGCGGTGTGATGGACACCCTCCAAATTAACGTGTGTTCCTCATCAACGTAGGCCAAAAACGCTCTCGCGCACGCCCTTCAGTCCTCCCGCCATGACTGCGACCTTCTGAGGGAACAGTACGAAGAGGAGATGGAAGCCAAAGCTGAGCTCCAGCGTGTCCTCTCCAAGGCCAACTCGGAGGTGGCCCAGTGGAGAACCAAGTATGAAACGGACGCCATCCAGAGGACGGAGGAGCTGGAGGAGGCCAAGTAAGTGTGGGAGATGACTTCCAGAGGTCACATCCTGAAGTTCAGGATGGACCAGGTAGATGGCGACTGTGGCTCATCAGCAGGTAGGACTTTGGAGGGGGGGGGGGGATGTGGTGTTCAACAATGGTTAAGTACCGTATTTTTCGGAATATAAGAGGCACCTTTTTCCCCTCAAAAAAGAGGGTGAAAATCTGGGTGCGTCTTATACACTGAATACAGCGCTTTTTGCCTCC